AAAACACCACTAATCCCTAAGGACATAGCACAAAACAAAACCCCACAACACTAATTGTACAAATCTTGGCAAAGCAGCAAATGAGCCATCCCAAAATCCTGTCCTTTAAACTTAGGAATCACTAACTTGATGGAGATACAGGCTGTCCTGTAGGCTGGCCATGCAAAAGTCAAATTACTAATTGATCCTGAGAACTATTATTTTCATTGGAGCTTACATGCTTATACATGGCATCTTAAAGTATTCTCATTCTTCTTCCTTCAAGTGCTTAGAATTCTAAAAAACAAGGATTGCTCTGATCAGGAATAAGGGAATTATGAATAGGAAACTTCTATGGTCAAGTGCTCCCAGGTTCTGTAAGTGGACATAAAGTTGTCTTGTTTAACCACACATGTCACGTGTGGCATTAAATCCAACACCATCCAGACACTGTTCTCTTGCATGTGGTGTGTAATTCAACGTATGATCCAGTCTGACCCAGATATTGCAGGGTAAGTTTTCACAGCAGCTAAGGAATCGACCAGCAATGTCACCTCGCAAGTAAAAAGCGTGTAGGCAGCCTGCAGGTAGCAGGGAATGATGCCGCACGGCCCTCCGTGAAAGGAGATTTCAACTGCAGTCAAAAATGTCATAAGCATTCAGCTTCAGAACATGTTCCTCAGCGGGAACGGCCAATGTGAACTCATATTATGGCTCAACTCCCTTTACAAATAAAAGGACAAAAGTTCTCCCCATTCTCCCCTACTTAAACAGGGGAAGAGGAAGTCAGAGAAAATTCTTCATATCTGAGGACCAGCAAGTACAATGTAGTTCTGTGATATACATGAAATAAGTTTTTCTCCTTCAGAACTATGTTCTCTTAGATGAGGCACTTAGGGACACAGCGTAGCAGGGTTTGTGGTGATAGGGTTACGGTTGGACTTGATGATCTTAAATAACTTTTCCAACCATAATGAATCCACGATCTGAATCCCACTATATTTAGACTGAACTTTAGTGACTTATTCTAGAAGAAACTATTATACCTCTAATGTTCTGTGCAACTGTCATGCACACTACTTGAGGCCAGGAACATTTTACTTTTCTTTCTATGTTAAATCATGAATCGATTGGTGTAATATTCCAAATGCAACCTTCATTTGTAAGCGAAAGGATATAGATCAGAGGTGAATGCAGACTGTGAGACTCTAGCATTAGAGTCAAATTTAGAACAACCTTCCAGTCTTCTTGTAGTGGCTATTTGTACCTCACAAGAATGACACAGACCCATTAGTACATAAAACTATGATCTCCTAGCCAAAAAAAAAAAAAAAGAAAGAAAAAAAGAAATGAGATCTAATCTCTAAGGATTCTAATTTAAAAAGAAAAGAAGAAACTTACTGTCGGCTATTTGTACCTCACAAGAATGACACAGACCCATTAGTACATAAAACTATGATCTCCTAGCCAAAAAAAAAAAAAAAAAAAAAAAAAAAAGAAATGAGATCTAATCTCTAAGGATTCTAATTTAAAAAGAAAAGAAGAAACTTACTGTCAGCTTTTAATCACTGCCAAAGACTTTACAGGCTGTTTATACACTAAGGTAGAGGCCTCAAACAGCCACATACACTGGCACATCAGGGGTTAGGAGCAGTCACTGTGAACACTTTCCAGTAGACTGGATAGGGACTCTTCCAGCTCCGTTGCTTTAAAAGCAGATGTTTGTCCAGCAGAGAACACGACCTGCCCCGGGCACCACCACCACAGGGCAGGCAGGGGTCCAGCAGGGCTCCCATGCAGCAACATCCCTTCCCTGATCACCTGCACACTGGTGAGGCCAAGGAGAAAGTGCTGAGGCTGCCGGCAGTCCAGCCCTTATGTAACT